CATTTAGAATAAATTGTCTTGTAGTTAAGTGAAAAAATATATACTTTTCCGTTTCATGTTTCATGACTGTCATATTTATCCTATTATATTATTTATCATATTATACCTTAAACTGAAGCATCGGATATTTTTATTCCCGTCAAATCATATAGATACACACAATATGAATGGAATAACACTTCATTTGTGCTAATAATACCCAGAATTCATGCTTTATCGGTAACGTCGGATATTGACACTAAAATGGTAACAGGGCTACGTAGCCCTATGAACGTGGGACAGAAAAAAGCATTGGATGATAGGTCTATTCTATACCTAGTCGGTGGTAAAAGTATCGATACCTTGATGGTAACGATTCAACCCTACATATGCACATTGCCACGAAAAATCAAGTCGTTGGACTAGTGGCGCTATCCGTGGCAACAGACTGGAACGGTAAAGAAATCATACTGACAGACGGAATGATGACACACTGCCATGTACCGCAAAATTGATGCACTAAGTGGATAGTAGCTTGAACGTTTATCCGTAGATGACGCCACGGGTCTTTTTTTCTCATGATTATTGTCGCACATTATAACATTAAATATGTATATACATAATGAGTATGAACGCCACAGCCAACGTTTATTAACTGCCGTGTTCCTGGTTTATCAGCATTATTCAAAAGATTTGATATCTTTCAAGTTATCTAAGTAAGATGGACAATTACTTTGACCGTCGCATGTCAATGTTACAAACAAGATATGACAATCTAAAAATTCACAATGGTAAGCGGAATATCCACTCGAAACGTTGCACTTTGATACAGACGTGCCCTCAAAATAAATACATATGCAAATTTACCAGAAACGATTCAAATGCAAAACCAATTGTGTAGAATATTTTTTCTTTTTACACTGTAACGTCTGCTGAATTATTTATGTCAAAATGGTATTCAAGAATACATAAATTTTCGTCGAAACTGATAATGCCACCTTAACTACAATACATAAATTTATAAATGGTTGTGAATAATATATTTGTCACCGCGATTCGGTTTAGTAAAAAATTGTTATTTAACCATATCTTACTTTTAATCGTAATTTCTATTAAATAATAATCTGTATTTTCACTATTATCGAGTTGCTCGGAAACTTCGTATAGCGTTACTTGATATACGCAATATACTCTAGCGATCTGTAAACGAATAATCATCTGCCGGTGTAAAGTGTAATTAATCGAATTAATGCTATAAAGTTTTTTCGTTAAAATAGTGTAATTTTTTACGAAGTTTAATTGAACGTATTGCAAATGGAATAGTACCCGTTCACCGGATCGAACAATTTTCCTTTCGCCTAATAAAAACGTGACGAAGTTACAGTGTTCGAAACACTACGAAAATTTCCAAACAACCATTATTTAATTATTACGACAATCATTTTCCAATTCGAACCAACATTACCAAAATTGTTGCGAGAACTTACGCCGTGCATACTCAATTATTTATAAATAATTATTAGATACACGGCGTTTGTAACAGGTTTTCTTAATTATATATCTGGTCTGCGTCATGGTGTTGTGTTGTTACAAGAAACAGAAAAAAAATTACACACGCAGTTGTACGTACGGGACAAGCACGAAAAGTGGTGAAATTTCTCGAAGTGTTCATCTAACAATTGAATTCCATCTGAATGGAACGCGTTCGTTTCCATACACGGTGGTACCGTTTGCTTTCACGAAAATTCATTCCACACGATGCTTATTTTCATTAGTACCGTTACCCCGTTACGTCAAACATGAACGGTCCAACTTGTACACACATATCTATAATTATTTCCCATGAAAATTCCCGACGAAAAAAACCGGTACATTCGTCGAGATTTCTCTTAATAATAGGTCTCTTTCCGACATAATCTTAATATCTAGAGATCAGCTGACTATAAAAAAAAACTTGTACACGTGCTTAGTTGCACAACAAGGTGTTTGTGACACATACTAGTCATGAAAAAAGTACAGGTATTCGTACGGGTCTGTTATAGCAAATACATGAATAAGAAAAAACAGCGTTTGCGAAAGCTGAACGTATATATATATATATATACATATGTCTAATTGTAAGTGTCACACATCTAAAAACATTACTTTCCCCCGTACGACAAAGGTCACGTAAACGAGTACCCTATATTTGGAAACATTTACTTTTTTTATTTATCGATGAACTTGCAGTACCTATGAAAATGCACTGAAAAAAATATGATTATAGAGTATAAATATTTCATTAATCTTGGAATAGCAAGGTAAACATTTAAGTAGATTTTATTGGAAATATCCGATTTCTGGAGCGTTGACATGGACTTTTTTGATTTATTTTAACCTAACCGACAAAATTCCTATAAAAAAAAAATGTTGACCGAACTTTTTGACACTGCCTGTATAAGGTAACCACAATGAGAATCCAAACGAATTTGTTATCCCCTCCAAACGATCCAGCGGTTGGTAGAATAAGCAGCGGCAGCTCGACAGGCGGGCAGCATTTACGCGTGGAACGTTAGAATTGGAAGTTCACCGTTCACCTCTTCAGGAGACTGATTTAGTCGGGCACAGGTTCACCTTAGCCGGACGAGCTTCAAAGCACGCGATAGAAAACGATTCGGTGACCGTAATTTTCACCTGTCGAGTTTCACTTCTAACCTGAATTCAACGACTGTGGGCTTGCTTGAAGCAGTAGTGCGTCCGCTGCTCCCAAAGCACACATTTTCTTGGCCGAAGGATACGGGTTTCGAAGAGAGCAGAATTATTCACTGTCGAGATTTTCATAGAGAACATGTTCTAATCTCCTCGGTATTGTCGGCATTATCGGTTGCCAAAGGTTCGTTACATAAACGCGACAAAAGTTTGGACGACACAGCTCAATCAACCGGCGTCACATGTACAGCCCGGAAATATTCAAAGTACTCTCGCTCTACACGTTGTCATGAGTATAAACTTTTAATAATCACCTCAAAAAGACAATATCATTCGAGAAAACCGGTATAAATACCGGGAACATAATCAAGAAAGCTACGCAGAATTCCTAGAAGTCCGATCCACAACATCGTGCATTATGTGGCCCAAAGACGTTGGTATCAAGGCGATAGAAGTATACTTCCCTGCTCAGTACGTCGAGCAAACAGAACTGGAGGAATTCGATGGAGTACCAGCCGGAAAGTACACCATTGGACTGGGACAATCCCGGATGGGTTTCTGCAACGATCGTGAAGATATTAATTCGTTGTGTCTGACCGTGGTGCAGAGGTTGATGGTTAGGTACGACATAAAACCAAAGAATGTCGGTAGATTAGAAGTTGGAACGGAAACCATATTAGACAAAAGCAAATCAGTAAAATCTGTCCTTATGCAGTTGTTTGCACCACATGGCTGCACGGACATAGAAGGAGTGGATTCTACCAATGCTTGTTACGGAGGTACCGCAGCTCTTTTGAATGCTGTAGCATGGGTAGAAAGCAGTGCTTGGGATGGTAGACTGGCTCTAGTTGTTGCAGCTGACAATGCTGTATACGCTGCTGGAAGTGCTAGACCAACTGGTGGTGCAGGAGCTATTGCCATGGTGGTTGGTCCAGATGCACCATTAGTGATTGATCGCGGAGTAAGATCATCGTACATGCAACACGAATATGACTTCTATAAACCAAATCTGAAATCGGAATATCCTGTTGTAGATGGACAATTATCAATTCGATGTTACCTTGGTGCTTTGGATAATTGTTATCAGACTTACTGTGGAAAGGTCAGAAATAAGTACAAACAAAATATAAATTTAGATAGCTTTGATGCATTCTTGTTTCACTCTCCATACGGTAAACTAGTGCAAAAGTCATTTGCTAGATTAGCCTTTATTGATTTCTTGAATATGACTAAAGATGAAATGTCTCAGAAATATCCAGACTTGGTTGAATTACACAGCATGAAACTGGAAGATACTTACTTCAATGTAAACATTGAGAAAGCATTTATGACTTTGAGTAAAGCAGCCTTTACTCAAAAAACTCAACCTTCATTGTTTATATCGAATTTGGTAGGAAATATGTATACTCCTTCTGTATATTCTGGATTAGTGTCCTTACTTATTAATAAACCCATAAAAGAATTAGCAGGCTATAAAGTTGGGTTGTTTTCTTATGGTTCAGGACTTTGTTCCACTATGTATTCAATAACAATAACGAAAGAGATAGGAGCAGATTCCAAGTTGATGCAAATTATCTCGTCTCTTTCTTATGTAAAAAAAGAGCTGGATGCCCGTCAGAAAGTTTCCCCTGCTGATTATACAAAGGTATTGGAATGGAGAGAACAAAATTGTCATACCGTGCCATTCAGTCCCAAGAGTAGTATTACCAATATGTTCCCAGGAACATATTATCTTGTTGAAATAGATGAAAAATATAGAAGGACTTATAAGACGGTATGAAACTTTGAATAGTTTTTTTGTATATTTAGATAACTGTTAGATAATTAACTTAACATGGTAACAGTGGACTAATCGGGGGTTTAAAAAATCATTGAATAAAAATCTTGAATGGTGCATAGCAATGTTTATTTATACTATTTAAAAGTAGTTATTGTTATATTCATATGTTCTTAGTGCCAAAATATAATACAAAGTTGTACTAATACGCGCTAAGTTAATATGATCGTATATACGTTAAATTTTTTAAAATTATTTTATGCATACGAAACTTATCAAATCAAATTATTTTTAATATACCTGTAAGGAAGATACGATTATTAAAAAAATACAAAAAGTACAGGAAATATGAATATTATTCTTGAGATAAGAATATGTTTTATATGTCGTATGTTATGTACATTTTTCGATGTATTTGTTATGTATATTTTCCATTTTTAGTAAAAAAGAAACATTAAAATCAGTGTGATTTACTATTATGCTATTATGGAGCTATTAATACACAAATAAAACGTGTATTACATTAACATCAACTGAAAAAACACTTTATGCAAGAAAATATTCCTCTAAAAAAAAATCATGTTTTACGATACTTGTTCTAACAAGGTGCTACAAAAACTGCCTTAAAAGAAAACTTCTAAGAATGCTATGAATAACTGTATTGAACGTATGTACATAGATATTTGAATGTAAAATTGTGGCAACCAATGTGTAAAAATAAAGTATAATATTGTGATAGACACCACAAATGAAACATTTATGAAGAATGTGATGCATTTTTCAGCAAAGTTGATTTTATATTGTTTAGGAAAGTGTTAATAAATGATCGTTATTGTTTAGAATATATGTTGAAGTTTTATTGCAGTAAAATCAATGTTATAACAGTATTCAAAAATTGTACAATAGCGAAATATTCACCTAAAAAAATATATTAATATATTACTTTTATATTCAGAGATTCGTTATATAAATAAATATAAGCATCCACTCCTACTACTTCTATAAATAGCTGAAGTACACAGTTGTCATTGAGTTACTATGTATAAAATCTAGGATTTCATATTTACAGAATTGTCAATTTTAAATAATCCGTCTAAAATCCATGGTAAAACTATAGGTACAACGACTGATTGGATTCGTACAATATACCCAACAAAATTCTGTTATATGATGATTGAACAACAAATGATCTAATATACTGGCTCAATACCATTATTTTCAACAATATAAATATTTATTCTCAGTGTCTTATCCTAAGACACTAAGTGTACAAATATCAACTGTTCAGTATCACATTTTTTTAACTGTTATATAAAAATATTGTACTTCTTTCTTTATGTTATATACAAATTTGAACATGAATATGATATGTGAGTTGTTTGTTCAAGAGCCATTGTTTAAAATATTTTGTAAGAGCAACCGGAACAGGAAGACAATTTTCGTCCTGAGCCAAGTCTAACGACATCATCTTCCTTAGCACTTATTTGTCGATTCTCGTGTCGTCTCTAAAAAGGAAAGTATGTATACATCATATTGCGATTTAACTCAATACTTTATACAGCTCTCGCAAATATATATCGTGGTCGCAAATTAATACATCGAGCGGCGACACTGACTGGTTCCGCGACACACAGGCCTGTGTCTGTGACTCACGGTATTTCATTTACAAGTAGAAAAACTGCAAATATTAAATCCTATTTGCAATATTTGTACAATACTTAGAATTTTTGCTACAAAATATTGCACACACGAGGATACATTGAAGGGCCGTTCTTCGTACGGCCCCTGAACGAGGTTTCAGGATCTTATTAAAGAAAGATATTTACTTTACCATTCGACTGATTTTACGACTATGCAACATATTTGAGAGGACTATACAAAAATTGTTGGCTCACTTTAAGCTCGGATGCCAGGTAAAAAAATACGGAATCTATATTGGTATTTTCTTTGGCTGATGTTTCCACTACTTCTAACACTTCAGGAAGATACTGACAAAGGGCTTCAGCCTCTTCTTTCTCAACCTCTCGTAAATTTTCTAAATCGCATTTATTACCTAAAATATTATACCCATAGATATGCAGCAATTATATACTGAAAATTTGTACATTACAAAAAAAGTGTCTTACCAACTAAAACTAACAACACATGTGACGAAGTATACCTTCTAACTTCTTCAACCCAATGTTGTAGACTTAAGAAAGTAGATCTCTTTGTAATATCATAGACTAAAATACACTCTGGTCATTATAAATATGAAATTTTAAATTCAATAAAATATATGAAACAGTTTTATCGATTACACACCTACAATAACACCATTTGCAGATCTGTAGTAACTTTGTGTTATTGTACGAAATCTCTCTTGGCCAGCTGTATCCCATATTTGCAACTAAAATGTTAGCGAAATAACATTGAATTATTCATCGGAAGAACTGGAATAATTTTTCCCAAATTTTTTTGTCACGAATGTTTTAATATAAATATATGTAAGTAAGTAAGTATATATTTAGTGGCCGTAATAGGTCGACCGTGACACATTCGATATAAACGAAAAAAGTTATTTTTAATGTAAAATGTACATTTCATTTTCTTCTGTTTGCAGTACCTACTGAGCACAATTTCCCTCATCGCTTCGTGGCAGAAAACTGTTACGATCTTATAAGAATTTATTATGTAAACAGTTTCTAGGTTAAATCGGGTTAGTATTGAAAACCCGTTAAACACCTGATCGAGCATGGATTGTACGAAGGTACCTACTTTGACTTTCTTGTCATCGATCAGCACTGTTTTCATGGAAAAGTCCACGCCGATCGTGCTTCCGTGTCTCTCGATAAATGTACCAGATCGAAACCTTTGAACGACACATGTTTTCCCCGTCCCGCAATCACCGATAAGCACAATCTTGAACAGGTAGTCGAATTTGTCGTCGTTAGTAGCCATCAAATTATCTGGATCGCGGTTCGACATTACTTTCCGATCGTCGAAACAATTTGCGAAATTGACGACACTGCTTTTAGTCCGCGCATTCAGACGTTACTGGACACACTACGCCATTGCTTCGTTCTACTCTCTTATACGCAAAGGGCATTACTGAAATGATGACAAATGTTAATTGTCATTACCTTTCTATAGAAAATAGTTGTTCACAAAATATTCTTCTTGTCGCGAATAATTTACGTTGAGAACGAACACAACTTCTCCAATTATTAATCTTTTGATACCTTATTCAAATAGATGATATCCTGAAGAACTATTCGTTTAATATGGACTTTTTATTAAAAAATTAAAAAATTGTTTTCATTGTAAAGTTTCTGGTTAATATACTAACGCTTAACACAAAGAGATCATTTTAATGCTATAAAAGCAAACAAGAAAGTGAAAAGAAATGCACAAGGGAATGTAATTTTTTAACTAACTTTATTTCTAGTTACTCTGGAATATTTAGTAAAGTTGAACAAGTACATGAAATTATCATTTACATTTATTACAAAGATGCTCTTAAACAAATATATCACTAAGAAATTATAAATACAATGGGAATATTCATGACTGAAAAGTTATTTTCCAGAAGTGAATTTTGAAAGACCTTCAAGTAAACTCACATACGCTGTGTGTTCGTAGTTTGTACTGAGGTCAATTAATTTTTCTGCAAACTCATTTGAAATACCCTTCTCCTCCAGGTAGTTCATCAATAAATCATACAGATACTGAAAAAAGTAAATGTAACATAAATATATGAAAATAAATGCAATTAAAATTGCTAGATATAGGAAATAATTAATTTGTTACAGCCTTCAAGTTTGATTTCCTCAAAAATGATAAAAATCAGCAAAAAGGAGAATGTATTACTTTTCCAAAGATTAATATTCAAAATGGTTACTCGATACACCACTTTGTACTCAACTCTTTGGATACCATAAAGAAACCAGAATTTTTACTTACACCATCAATAATTTCACCAGCAACTGCATATACATTCTCAGTCTGGTCACCTTCGTATAAAGTGATTTCATCAATGCCAAAGATATCATCTGAAACCACAAATTTGTGTAACAAATCTTGAACAAATATAGCTGACTACTATATACATTCTAATAAGCTATAATTTAATTACGCTCACTGTAATTATCATTAGCACCAGATGCTCCAGGTTCATTGTTAAATGAACAGCTAAAACCAAGAGTCTGGTTTCCCTTCACTATATCTATTGTGAATGTTGGTTTACTTTTCATTTCACCAATATCAGGACTATCACTGGTCATATCTAATTCTGGTTCAGACTCAGAATCTACTGTATGATTTATATTGAATGAAATTTTAATTCTAAAACAAAAAATATTATTCCTGAAATGACGACTGTATTTGGATTCAGATATTTGTTTCTCATTCCTGTTAATTTTGCATTTCTGATTAATTTCTGTCAAAATTCTTACATCTCATTGTCCTGCTCCTTCTGTAAATTAACTTGTGCACCATTGAGAGATACTTTGAAGCCATCCAATGCTGTGGGAATAGTTTTCAACTTCTCTGCCTTCTTCTCTGCTACTATTTCTTCTGCTAGAAACTCTACAAGTTCTTTCTCAGCTGATAAAGAATAAACATATATTAGTTAATATACAAAAACATGTATAACATTATAATATTTTGGTACCTAATACATAATGTATATTAATAATATCTTTAATATACATTATATATTAGATACCAAAATATCATAAAGAAACTAGTTTCATAAAATTTTTATTTTAATTCAAAAAGCAACTTTAAAACTCCATGTATATACTGAACATGAGGAAGAACTAACTTGTACGAAGAAGTTTTTTCTTTACCAATCAAGGGGATAGTGCAGAAGAAATAAGTGTACCTTTCGTGTGTGCCCTTCTGCAACAACTGCAATTGCAGAGAACATGTTGGTGTTTCAACGTTTTTGTCGAAGCAAAAGCTGTGACTTCGGTTTGCCGCGAGGAAACTCTCCACAATGTTCTTAATTGATTATTCACGATTCCTGTATTTGAGACTGACGAAAGAAGATTCCTAATCGCCGACGACCGCAACGTATTTCTTATGATACTATTCATCTTACTTATCAAGTTATACGTGAACCCGTTAAATAGCCGGTAAGGGTCACAAAATGGCTTTACTTGGAAAACGAAGCACGAGGGACAGAAGAACGGTTGCGTCACTGATCAACTAAATTTTAACTCGCTACTGGTTTGCATGCGACTTCCGAAACGGATGCTTACATGGTGCACCCTAGCAGACATAGGGGAACTAGATATGATATTTAAAAACAATAGAATATTCTGAAATAATTTAATCAATCTCTTTTAAAGTTTTTTTACAGTTTAACCATTGCTTTCAAAATTATTTAGTGAAGTAAAACACACACTTGTATTTCGTGAATTTAGTTCTACTTTCCAGTATCTTCTTGTTGGACAAAAGAATTGGACCTAGTAACTGCTAGTAACTGAAAGCTCTTGTAGTGACAAGTTAGGGTGTAATTTTCCTCGATTTTAACTCATCTTTAACTGGATTTGTTTAATGGTTGCCCTGTTCCAAAGAAAGCGGAAAATAGCGGGAATAGTGGGAAACAATTACGTTCTAACTGGATCTATGACGTACTAAGAAGTGTTTGACCATCTGAGTTGTTTATTGCTTACCGGTATCGTTTAAAAGTTATTTGTCGTTGTTCAAAATGCATTCGCTTACTGAAGGAGCATTAGATGTAAGTATTGTGATATATTATATTATAGACGATTTATTCAACTTCTCTTCAACTGTTTGTACTTTCAGAAAATAATGAATGGCATCGATGTCGATAAGCCGATACTTCAAATATTGGTAAATATTTGTTACATTTACACAATTTATTAAGTTTGTCAAGTAATTCATTTTTCAAGTGATACCTACTTTTGTCGATTTATGACATCATGAAAGTTTTTATATTGTCCTTGTACAGGGTCACAAGAAGTTAGCAAGCTCAAGCAGTGGGGAACGCTACAGACTGCTTGTATCTGATGGAAAGAGAATAAACTCTTTTACTATGTTGGCTACTCAGTTAAATTCAATGATCACAGATAATATATTGACTGAGTTTTCCATTTGTCAGATAAATAGATATGCCATAAGCATGGTAAACAATGCTGGAAAACAAAAGTACGTAATGTCCATTTAATATAATTTGTCACAATTAATCATTGTTATTATCACTGTCAGGCATATAGAAGTTATGTCATGAATTTACCAAATATGATGTAACTTTGAAATTGTTGACATACTAATATGTAGATAGATATAAAATGTGGTTGCCAATAACTAGATACAATGTAAATATGATTGTTGGATGCGTTGTACTTTTTGTTTCATACAATAATACAATTTACAAAGATATAATTTGTCGTCTGTATATTTTTCCTTAGGCGTGTGATGGTAATATTAAACATAGAGGTCAAATGTCCTGGTGATGAAGTTAGTCATAAAATTGGAAACCCAAGCAATGCTGAAACAGAAAGTGATTCTAAACCTGCACAACCTCCACCTCAACAACAAAAGGGTATAATAAATTGGTAACATTAACACTAGACTACAGATGTTTATGCAAACTTACAATTCTGAGCTCTAATATATGAAAATAAAATTGAACAGAATTTTGTTTTCTATACTTGGGGTCATAATATGTTGACAGTAATTCTGTTCAATTTTACTAGAATCTTTATTTTGCTATGTTTTACAAGTCAGGGGTTGTTATCAATGAATAAACATCCACAGTCTAGTTATAACTGTAATGTCCTTGTGGTTTTATGTTATTATAAATTCTATTTTTATTTTAATAGATGTTTTGGTACAAAAACAGAGCACAAATCAAACTTCTACCAATGATATATCAACAACTCCGATTGTTGCACTGAGTCCTTATCAAAACAGGCAAGTGTAATTCTACTGTGATCCTTTTATCATAATATCAGTTGCACTTTAATCAATAGTACACTTCACAGATGGGTGATAAGAGCTCGAGTTGTCAGCAAATCTGCTATCAGAACATGGAGTAACTCACGCGGAGAAGGAAAATTGTTTTCCATGGATTTGGTTGACGAGAGCGGGGAAATTAGGTGTACAGCATTCCGAGATCAATGCGATAAATTTTACGAAATGTTGGAGGTCTGATCTGCTATTCATACGCACACTTTGTTCCGATCGTAATATTAAATATATGTTCCAGATTGGGAAAGTGTATTATATTTCCAGAGCTGCTTTGAAAACAGCAAATAAGCAGTTTAACAATCTGAGAAATGATTACGAGATGACTCTAAATGCAGACTCAGAAATTATTCCATGTCACAACAGTGGAGATGATATTCCTTCTCTTCAGTTTGATTTTCTACCAATAAGTGATGTTGAAAAGAAGGAAAAAAATGATATAATGGGTACTTAAACAGTTAATTAAGATTTACAATGCTTTATGTTTGTGTATTATCGAATGCTAATGTATTACAGACATTCTGGGAATTGTTAAGTCTTGCGGTGATCTCCAAATGTTGACATCACGAACCACGGGTAGAGAACTGAAAAAGAAGGATATTAATGTTGTTGATGAAAGCAATACAATGGTAGGAGAGCCATTCTTAACTGATAGAGAACAAACAAACTATAATATAAAATTGATAAATTATTAGGTATGCCTTACACTGTGGGGTTCACAAGCTGAAGACTTTGATGGATCCAATAATCCGGTCCTGGCGATAAAAGGGGCTCGTGTTGGTGAATTTAACGGAGGGAAATCTTTATCTACCATTGGTTCTTCGGTTCTCCAAATTGATCCAGATATTCCAGAAGCGCATAGATTGCGCGGTTGGTATAACACAGTCGGTCGCAACGAGGACATGAAGTCAGTTTCAAGAACGCTTGGAAGTGGTGGAGGTGCCAGCGGACCGTTGCTCACATTCAAAGAAGCTAAAGATATGGAACTGGGTTTCAAAGGCACAGAGATGTACACAGTAAAGGCGACCGTAAACATGATTCGAATTGAGAATGCTCTTTATAAATCCTGTCCCAGTGAGAATTGCAAGAAGAAGGTGATTATTTTTCTGGTAATTTTATAATACAGGAAGTGTTGGTTAATTGAGAAGTTATGTTTTACAGTTAATCGATCAAGCGAATGATATGTACAGATGTGAGAAGTGTGATAAGGAATATCCTAACTACAAATATCGTGTATTGGCCAGCGTAAGTGCGGAAGAACAGTAACTTAAGTTTATTAGTGTTCACGACCCATTTATTGATATTTAATATTTTAGTTAAGCTTGGCAGATTGGACGGATAATCAGTGGGCCACAGCGTTCAGCGATGAAGCAGAAAAAATATTGGGTTTGTCATCTCAAGAACTCGGAGAACTGCAACAGAGCGATAATGAGGCGTATCTTGACAAATTTGGTGATGCAACATTTACGAGTTTCATATTTAAAATAAGAGTCAAATTAGAAGTATTCAGTGTACGTTTCTTTATAAAAAAAATTTGAAGATAAAATGTATATGGTGTATTGGTAAAAAGTAAGTTCAGAATCTTAAAAGCACTTTCTTTTTGCAGGATGAGAGCAGGTTGAAAGCAACTTGCGTTAGCGTGTCCCCGGTGGATTACAAAGTATACAATGACCACTTAATAACTCAAATCAAGGAATTAGCTGGCATTGGAAAGGCTTAAGCTGTAATCATATTTATGTTTTTGTACAATCAGTTTATATTTAATTTTCAAACGTTTAAAGCTAGTATTTCCTTATATCGTGAAATAATAGTATATTTAATAAAATAAGCGTATCTTTTCCTAAATTGATCTATTTTTATTTTTATGGCAGCAGAATTCAAATTCGGTGTAACGACCACTTGTGGTATTAACTTTCACCATTGAATATGTGATTTATATGTAAGTACTAACGTGCTCTGCCAGAGGGCGGATGTATGGACAATTCCTGCCAATTCTCTAGTGACCCACAAATCCCATGTGTCCTTTCTAGATTACATTTACGTTAATAAATGTTTTGAGGGTAAAGAAATAAATAAAGAATAAGAAAAATTATCTACTGTTACTGTTCTAAAAGAACATTTCAGAATATTGCAAATAGTCGTCATAATTTTATATTGTGATTTACTGTCAACATACATTAGACTAATTATGTATCAAACAATTCCCTGCAAAATTTTACAATGTAATATAATCTATTATAATTTCTATGACGCTTGCGTACTCAGAATCAGAATGACTCAGTCCAATAGTTACGTAGTAACGTGTTATTGTTAAACGAGGTCACCGAAATTGCGAATACATGAAATTAACTTTGTCGGTAAATTAGACGCAACTGCGATTGATTCAACGAAAAACATGAGATATGGTTTCAAGTTTGTTTAAGCATACACGATATAAGACACATTTGCACGACATTAAGTTGTTACGTGTTTTCATTGTAAAGACGAATCGACATCCTACATGTAGGTCTTCACTGATTCGATGAGTACTTATAACAGTGACATCATTAATGTTTCTAACATAATTGAAGCAATGTAACGACTAAACTGATTCATTACGGTCATGTTAACGTGTCCAATAGCGCAAACATCTGTATTAATTACTCAATATGTCGCGGTATGTACATATTTCGATGTTAATTACGAAGGAATGACAATAAGTCTGCTAATATTTCTCGCGTCGTCAATGTATAAGTTACTTATCGTGATCCACAGATGTTCATAATATGATAAAAAACAGAATTGCACTTGGATGAATCATACTACACGAACCATTCACCGGTTAAATTGAACTATGCACTATAGTGAATGAGTAATAGTTAGAAATATAAGAGAAATTGTTTTTCATTTGCACGTATAATTGTACGTAATTAACCAAATTTTTGTTCTAAACACACGAACATTGAGAACTGTATTGATTTTTAGAATATTCTTTCGGATTTAAACATAAATTTTCATTAATAATATGACTCATTCCACTCGTTTAATTATCGTTTGAAAATTACCGATGTTGCATGTTACGACCTGAAGTGCGCATGCGCGTGCGAACTGCCTTCGTAAAGCGTCAAAGCGACGCGACGCTGTTTAGTGCAGTTGAGCACAGTTAGTTCGGATCAGTTCGAATTCAGTCTTCGAGAAGTGTACGTCGATATTCGGCGGTGTTAAAGAACTTTATTTATTGTTTCCTGAAGAGTACAGTATGGCTATCTGTGAGTGATCTTTCATTAACGATAATAGTTAACATTATTCATTCGTTCTTTAATCATTTTACATCGTAATTAACTTGTTAGATCCATGATCAGTTATTTGTGGCATTTTAGCGCCGAAAGTTATGAAACCACATAGAAAACATTGACAATTCTTTAAACTGCATTCCAGAGAATCGTACTATAACATACAGTTCATGGCATAATATTTTTTAAGATCGACTTAATAGAAAATGCCGAACTATAGTATCTTATTATGAGGCGTCATACGAATTGCGTAGTATCTGCGGGTACCTACCGGCTTTCCATGTTTGAACGTGTTTGTGAAACGCAGTCGTTGATTGTAGTCCGTAATATTTTATCGTAATATTTTACAAGGTAAAATGACTGTGGTTCCATAAATAGGCGATTGTCATCGGAAGCACTTTAATGGTATGAGAACATCCTAATATTGTTGGAAGGAAGTGAAGCATAGCCGAGAATTCCTTGCGTTATTCTTGAAGTTTCTTTTTATTTATCAGCGAGATTCGATATTACAGTGACATCCAATAAGTATATACGCGACTTAAAAAGTTAGACGAAGCGTGATCCGAAACTATACGAGAGTCTTCTCTATTATTTTTCATGCTTTGGACGGTCGTACCTAAAGTGCTCCATATACGACTCGCGTAACCAGCATTTCTTCGAACTTACGTTCGTTTTTTCTTTTTTTAAATGCTTTCGTTCCCTGTATTGTATGCGTATATGTATATACCTGAGGGTAACAGTACAATGAAATAGGAAATGCAATGGGACCGTGAAGGAAGGTTTGGTTACGGCGCGCGGCTACCAAAGGTTATCGTAACAGAAGGTACTTGACACCTGGCATGCCGCTCTTCAAAGTAATTTCCCTTACCTAAATTGGTTTTCCTGTCAAAAATCTTAAAATTTCTTATGATGACTTTAGGCTATGCTGGGCAAGTGAATACGATACATTATGTAATTTGTATCGTCTATAGCTAACTAGATCATGCAAGTTTATCCAGGAGAAATGTACATATATCGATACATCGATTGATTTCACGCGAAGAAGCACGTCGAAACTACTGCTCTTAGTGTTTATACGGGGAAGCTTCGATGGAACGGTTTCTTTTCAAGCGTCCAGCTAAATATAGTGAACGGGCGCGGTCCGTGGCCGGTTTGACAAGCCGGCCGGCTTTCTTTTCCCGCGATACTGTTTCACGAAGCTTCGTCGTGGAAGGTGGTAGTCTTCCATTAGCCTAGAATGCTGAACTGTGACGCGAATACTAACCTTGAAATTATTTTGTTTTCTTTTTATTAATTCGGTGACCCTGAAAATTCCAGAAGAAAAGATTGACACAGAATTTGATACAATCGTCTCAAAGCTTTCCTCGAATCATGTTACGATTTTTATGCTTGTAGGTATAGTTCTCTTGGTATTTCGATCTATCCCGAAGCGAAAAGCGTCTACAAGTTAGAAGGATACATAGCGACTATCTCGACAAGGGGTCTCGATGACTTCTAGATTGTTTCGCAACCCGAGCCATTCACTGTCCCAAGGAAGAATATCTCGTCTTCTCTCTGGAATCTCGGTTACGATTACTGGACTCGTGTAAATCCTATGAAATCCCCCATATTGTAATCGTGCGTGTGTCTTGTATGGGGGAGTACAATCGCGTAAAGAGACCGTTCATGAGAAATGTTTCTATTTTTAGCAGTACGCTAAATTCCACTAGATTCCTTCGTAAGCATATTACGACCGCGGGAACCGAAGGACGAGCATATTTACGACACGCGCGCGGTTCCGTGATTCATTCGAAAGAGGAAAATACATACGAGGCAGCTGGTGGACCTTTCGTCCATATGAAATTTCAGCGACTTTGCGTGGCCACCGGCCGCTACCTACGTATTCACGTTGCCGATAAAAAGGAAGACAGTTGCCATGCGAGGTCAATGACAGGGAGAATGGTCGCTAGACTTGATAGGTTAGCGTTTAGCTATTCGCATAGTATATACATACACGTGCAATTTTGTTCGGTATGTATACTTTGTATTGGTCAGACAGCCATCTTAAATATATATAAACTACTGTTGTTACGTCGCGGGAGAGAGGCTTTTGCATACTCATAATCCGTGCTATTTAACAAGTCTAATTGATTTATGTTAATTTATAAAATCCTCATTATGGTACAATTAAAAATACGGTCGGTCCCAACGAATTACGATTTAACTCTAGATCATTACACTATTATAAAAATTTACGATCTTGAATTCTCGATTCTCAAAAATCAGCAGTTTGCCGTCAATGTTGTCAACATGTATCCAGGTTGTCCTGAATAATTACTGTCTTAATATTTCATTATTTTCAACGAATAAAATATTACGTGTTTTCTTCCAGTTGTAATTTTTACGTTTGATTAGTAATAACTTAAGTCACCAGGCACTTTAGTGCTCGTAGGGTTAATATTGGCGCGGATCAGCGAAAAATGTATTCTTCAACAGGCGAACGGACGACCATAACTTGGCCGATCGTTGCGCAACGGAAAATTGCCTGAATGGCTCTAATTTTCGCGTTGTTATGTTAATCGCGACACGCCTCGTTACGGTAACAGACTCTCAGGCCTAATCAATCCTCCGGTTATTAACATTCTGCGACCGATCACGATCTGGGTTGCCGCGTCCCTTTGCGTTACCGAGAGACTTTGAAATTAATAGTGAGATGGAATATACTAGGTGGACCACGAAACCTGTTTTGCTTAGATTATTCTTCTGCTAGCAGTTCGATCGAAAATTTCTTTGCATGCTTAACCATCAGTGTAGACGTCATAAATAGAACAAAGTAGTTGTTTCTTAACCGTTTACGCGAGTATATTGCAACTGATGCACACCATTTTGAATATCAGTTTTAGTTAAGGTAAAACATATTTTCTTAATGTTTCTTTAGTTTAGAGGGAAAAAATGAGTTCTTATTACCATTATGACCATTTGCGTAACTACGATTTTTGTCTGGGGGGGAGGGGTGGGGAGCCCCTACCTAGTTACGTCAATGGTTATGATGCTTGCCGAGTTTGTCTCAGTATCCGCTAAAAGGTGGGCGTAAACAAATTATAGGTTTGTCTATAAAAAAAACTTAAGGTGACCTTGAAAACACTGGAAAAGAAAGGTCGACAAACATTTCGATCGAACAGGTAGTCGTAGAATAATCTAATTGTAAGCTGATCACGTTTCGTGGTCTACCCTGTATACAGGAAGAGCAATTCCGTGAGCACGAGTCTCGTAAAGTTGCTGACGATCGCGTAATTAGAGATCGCCGCGACACACGTTAGGTCTGTAACTAATTTCACATTGGTCATCGGTGGCGTGTGGTTTCGGTGATTGCGAAAGATAGCCGCGCGCTGATTGGTTTAACAAATCACTCTGGTGTATGTAAGTACCGTAATGTGAAGTAATTGGCATCGAAGCAGCGATGGCGTCAGCTCAATGACGCTCCCGACCCCGTCCAATGCGGCTTTCTATTGTCCTTGATTCTCCCTTATCGCTGGAATAATGATCGAGTTCAATACATGCGGGAATGTTAATGCTCCATGGTACCAGTGGTTTATAGCGTCCCGGGTTCAGAGTTCGGTGGAGGGGGATTGTCTTTAGAGAGCTGACTGCTGAGAAACAAACGATCTTAACACTTTGTATACTTTTACTACTATTCTGATCGCTATTCTTAAAATTTAGGTGTACAGTGGACTGACACAGTAGTGAATTTGTGTGCCTAAAAGTACGTAAGAAGAGAACTGTTCCGCGTGGCAATATGTCAAACGGCAATACATCAAGAGTCTATTATACATCTAAAATTTAGGCATACGTCTAAAATTTGACCGACGTACAAAGTGTTAAATGAGTAATTACAGCCGATCGCTGTTTTTTCAATGATCCAATTTCTTTATCGATCAATCTTTGTACAAAAGCAAAGAAAGCTCGACGACCGCAAGGAAACTTGTAAGTACCGATCTCTCTTGTTGAGCCGTAAGGGATACCGTGGATGACTTCACTCTCAAGGAAGCGTCTACGGTTCTCTGAATTGTTCTGATTTGAAAAACGGCGACCCCCAAATTATTCGCGATTTCTTGATTCACGTTGACACGACACGGTGATGTCAGCAACGGGAACACGGCCTTCGTGACACAAGTCACTATTTATAAGCGTTGCGTTGCGTACAGGCAAAACGTGCGCGCTGTCTTACCGAGCATCGGAAGTTTCTCACTGACCGATGGCTAGTTATGCGCGCGGAAACAACCGATCGAATAGCCGATCAAATCATTCGTTTTTGTTTATCGGAACCAACGAACGTACTCGATCGCGCGTGGATTCGGGACGAATTCGATAGAATTAAATAAAAGGCGATAGAATTTCGAGGAAATCTCGAATTGAATCACAACTCTGTTCACGTCTATGAATTAAGTATATAGTTAGATATATAGTTGTGTGGTTAATATTAAACTCTAGTTCATATCTCTGAAGGTTAAGTTATAAGTGAGTTCGAAAGTAATTCGCTGGACATGGGACCAAGGATGCTCAGTGTTGATGATTAACTCTCGGTGCGATATATATATGTACATAATTGAACAGTGTAATGGGCACCTACGAACATATACAGTCCGATTTTTATCGTTACGTGTTACCCCGGAACTTCCTGTTGAAAACAATCATACTGACGTTGATATTCGTGTTCACGGATCTGGGGCATCAGTTACGGTCCCTGTTCGGACCTTCAGGTAAATAGTTCTTTCAAGTGGACTGGATGTTTTACCACGACGAAGTTCTTTTCGTCCTTCGAGTTTGAAAAACCACCTATCTGTGTTCTTAGAGGACGGTGTCTCCACTGACCGTGTCGAGATCGTCACCGGAAATTTATAATCGCGATCTAGACGCGGGCGTTATTGCGAGCCACCGGCGAGGATATTGATCGATGTCGAGTCCTGCATTGTCCTACTTTCGTTCACTGTATAAGCATCTGGCCGTGACTGGCGTCTAGACGTCTGGAGGTTTTTGCAGAAAAAGCTTTTACCCCAGTTTTCCTGGCTCGGATGATATCCAGTTTGCTCGTGATCGACTTTACCCTAGGATAGTCGGTCACATGACCACACATAAACTCTCCCCTAGTACGATTATAAGATCGATCGACTTCGAGTTCGATAAAGACGATGGGTTATCTCGTAACCCGAACGTTCGGTGTGTTATTAAGTCGCAGCCGTTAGGAATTGCATGGGTATTAAGGCCTTTCCGACGAAGACAGATGGCGTCAGCTTAAAATGTTGTTCGTTGAGAACAGTTTCTTTTCGGTTCACGGCTTCATTCTCGAGATTTACGGAGAAACCCGAGATCCTCTAATTATTACAGTTTAATAAGTTCTGATCCTTCAGTCGATTGACTGTGTCACGTGTCATCTCTCCCGGGAATTCAAGTTTCGTAACGCCCGTGCGCGCGAGAAGACCATCAGATGAGTTACCATCTGTCAGGGATTTTTGTATAATAAAGTAACTAATAATCTTCGGAATTAAATGAGTCGTCTGCTATTATAATTTGGCACCTGGTATACACGTTCTAGGTGAAATGAATAAATGAATAATCTGTACTTCGACAGTATGTGCAGAATACGTTAGGTTAGTCACAATTTTATTTTTCATTCTAGCACTCACCACCGAGGATAAATTGGAATACAAATTCTACCCCGTGGCGAGCGGGCAGCTTCAGTTCCGTGTAAAGGCAGCCAATGATGCTCACGTTGCTCTCACCACCGGTCCCCAGGAGGGAAATCCCATGTACGAGGTACGAGTAAAATTTGTGAGACTTTCGAATGATATAAAATCACGTTCGGGTAATGTAAACCGTGTATTGAAACTGCAGATTTTCATCGGTGGCTGGAGCAACAGCAAATCCGTGATCCGGAAGAACAGAACGAAACCGGAAGTCGCAGAAGTAGAGACACCCGGTATATTGAACGGTGACGAACACCGTGGTTTTTGGATAAGGTGAAGTATAGATTAATTAACATTGATAACAAGAAGAAAAAAGGATACCGTGAAATACTAGCGACCTCTATTTAGCGGATCAGTTCGAGTCTCCACGCGTTGAAGTCTCCAAGACTGTGTGCTATAGTTCTGTACTCCTCCCTCTCTCCCTCTTAAATTACTTTATTTATGGGTCATGATTGTGATACTCGTTTCAGATGGGGCGACGGTGCTATTTCAGTGGGCAAAGAAGGCGAACCGAGTGCATTCCTTACTTACAGCGATCCAGAATCTGTCGGGATCGGTTACTTTGGATTGTGCACCGGTTGGGGTGCTACCGGCGAATGGCTGATCGAAGGTGAAATATTTCCCTGATCCTACTTTCGAATACTTTCCCCTAAGGTTTAGAAGGGTTCTTATCGAGATTTCTTTCTCTACCGGTTCTCTGGTATACTTGGGTTTTTTTATTAGAAAGTTATCAACTATAGTAGAAGGTAGAATTATTTCTTTAGATTTTATTAGATGCAGTAGAGCTTGAAACCATGAGATACCGTTGAATATGATAATACCATATTGCTTTGTATATTCTATAAGTATTTTCTTCCGCGAATAGTGTACGTATTATTACAGTAGATCTTCGTATCTCTATTCAATTCCCGGTTCTTCCATCAGATATTTAAGTATGATTCGCAATTTATTAACACAATCTTGTTCCTGGTACTTTATTGGGATGTCGGATGGGCCACTACTAATACGCCATCGTCTACACAGCCATCTGTGTCGGTGGCCACGACCGTCGTACGTATAGTATACGAAGGCCTGGCCGAAATACGTAGTTTTGCATCCCTTAGATGCTTTTGCTGCTCGATTATGTTTTTGATTTGAACCCAGCACGATTGCCCCCTATTGGTCAGAAGGATGTCCAATTACAGTTGTTTTATTTTCACCGGAAACTCTGGAATTGGACACCTTTTAGTCTCTATGAAATACATGCACGAGCTTGCAATCAAACTTTAGACTAGTGTCACGCTTATCCTTTCAGTTCTCGGTACTCAAAAAGCGCTCACATTTTTGTAAAACTCTTTACAGTGAAGAATGTTGAGATTACAAATCAGTGGAATACGCTGATTGATCAGGCGGATGGGCCAGAAGACGCATAGAAGTTTAGGGATTAGGGTTATCAAACGATCAGAAACAGGATATTAAATAATTCCCTTAAATTCGGACGCGTATAAAGCATTCTACTTTCTAAGTACCCAAAGTTATTTTCGATTTTCTGTCTCTTCTACAAGGACACGGCTCCCTATCAACGCGGAACCAGTTAGTCTACCAGTTTCGAAACGTACGGGGCGGTTCGATCCTCCTCGACGTGAAGGCCAAGAGCAACGCGCACGTTGCCTTGACGAACAAGAAGGGCGAGTCATCCCCTATGTACGAAATCATGCTCGGTGGTTGGGAGAACACAGCCTCGGTCATCAGACACGATCGCAAACAACCTGATAAGGTTCAGAATAGAATTTCGAATCGTTTTCTCGTTCCTTTAACCTTTTAGTCTGGAGATCTCAATATCCTTTAACCTTTAATCTTGAGATTTCGGTGTCCTTTTACCTTCAGTATGCGAGGATTGCACTTGATCCTAGTAGTCAATGAAGGAATATCGTGAACATTACTGAGAAATACCAAAACATTCACCTGTTCTCAAAAGAGAGGAATCCAAGATCTCTTCAGGCGGGGACAGGTGTATCACACGAGACAAATGGTTAAAGGAACCCCGCGTTCGCGCGTTTCCAGGTATTGTGGGGTAGTAGTCTTCCGTCCTAAAGAAAGCTGATTTTGCCACGGACAGGTGCGCGTGAACACGCCAAACCTGCTGAACGAGAACGAGACCAAGAAGTTCGCGATCACATGGCTCGACGGCCTGATCACGGTCAGGGCTGGCAATCTTAACGGTCCCGTCCTCATGGAATGGCGGGATCCTAAGCCAATTGGCGTGAGCTACGTCGGTGTGCGTACCGGTTGGGGCGCAACGGGGAAATGGCAGCTTCGTGTCGCACAATACCCACCGAGTCCGAAAGCCAGTGCCAAAAGTAATTTGCCTGATCGTTTACTTTTTTTTTTCTTTTTTCAATATCATGTTAACGATGATACGACGTACTTTTTTGTCACCGTTCTGCGAACACCTGGAAAGCTTCTTGGCCTCGAGTTCCCTAACTTAACCAAGGCTGGTTCGATTCTTAGAAATTAAACGGGGGTGCAGTATTACCTCGTTGTATGTAACGGATCTGGGCTCGTCGAATTAACATATAACCGTGGTGGCTGGTGCTTTTCAAAATAGAGTAAATTGCATACCGATGGGACATGTAACAAGAGAATACTGTACAAAAAAAGAAAATGGAATTGGATGAGCAAAGAGAGACTAAAAGACTCTTTTTCAAGTAAAAGTTTGAACATTAACTGAATCATTCTGTTTCCGAAATCGATCGTTTTCTTGTTAAATGTTACGAGCCACCTTCTCCTCGAAGATGCAATTTATATTCTTCGCTTCCATTCCTCATGAGCATCAACAGATCTCGGGATCATTGAGCAAAAATGATTGTCCTCGCTTGGGCGAGGTTGTAGGTATAAAGTCTTTTATGGACAAGTAAATTTGTCGAAACTTTACTACGTGTATGTATCGAGGTGGAACGGTGGTAGTGTGGTGGTCTCCAATGGTCGATCGAGTTTGTTCATCGTGTACTAACACATGTTCAGTCCACGTTTTTTTTTCTAACACCAGCATGCTGCATCAAGTATACGCCGAGGTCGTATGTCACCATTATCTCCCTCAGTCACAACATATTTGCCCTCCAATCGATTCACACTGCCTATCGTTACTTTCGCTTGTTTGAACAAGTCACATTCCATCGATCGGTAATTTTCCAAAGCACCAATCTCGTTAAAGTAACGCGACAACTAAAAAGAAAGTCACATAAGTGCATTACATATCATTGATATTCATGCATCACCGCTTTACGGTCATCAAGACATTGATAAAACCGAGGTACAAATGCTCCATTTGACTGTGTGCAACTGTTGTGTGTGTGTTTGTGTTACCATTGTGCATGAACCAGAAGATTAAACGAAATTGGTGATAATGATAAACTTTCCTTCGGTGCGATTTCTTGTCTGAAAGCTGATACAAGGTCTGAAATCTTTGGATCCTATCAGCTGTCTATGTGTGTTGCACCACCGATTATTTTTGTTTTTTCTTCTTTCGACAACTACGATAATACTTCGATGCACCTGTCTTCCAGATACAACGAGTCCATCTGCCCCACCTCCACCTGTGCAAGGTTTGGAAATGGGAGAGGTTTGCTGGTGCGACGCAACAGGTGGCATGGTGCCTCCAGCTGCTGTCGAAGGTGGGAAGGATGAAGAGACCTTATACGTAGGCAGGGCTTACCATGAGGGTGCTCTTTTGCCTGGCAAAGTGAAGCCCGGCCACTCTGTTTGCTATGTTGCCTGGGGTGGTGGTGAGCACGGAAAGACTGATTACCAGGTAATGTTCATAAATCAGTCGACTGGAGGATAAGGCTGATCAGTCGGGGTCATAAATTCTGTATCCAGAAGTCAGTCGTTACAAAGTACATATTTTGGTGAAACTAAGAATAAAGAAAAATAATAAGCTGACACTAAAACACAACACCCTAAAGAGTTAGGACTAACACGGGAAATTCGAGTAACTCGAAAATTCCAATGTTTTTTTGAAACTTCGCGAGGTTTGTGAAGGTTAGGAATTTTTTAGTTATCAAACTGACGTGAAATGGATGCTACTAATTTATAATATTATAAATTCTGTACGTAAAATTAAGTGAAATCGTTTCTTTTAGGTTCTCTGTGGCTGTAACCCTGCGTGGGTACCAACCAGCGGAAACAACATTCCTGCAAATGCGATTCCGGGCGGCGAAACCGAGGACGGAGAAGCTCTTTATGTCGGTCGCGTGAATCACGAAGGCACTGTTACGATTGGCAAGGTGCAACCGTCCCATAGCGTTTGCTATATTCCGTTCGGTGGCGCCGAAGTTGCCTTCCCCGAATACGAAATCATGGTCTCGCAGTAATCGAGCAGAATTTGTATTACGACGAAAGAGAATTTTAAAAGCTGTCCCGACTAGTCGATGAATGAAAAACGATTACCGAAAGTATATGAGTGTACTTTATGACTGCGTTGAAAGTTCAAAAGGAAATTAGTACTCTGTAATACTATTAGTATTATAAAATACATTAGGATAAAATAATGTTTGCAATCAATGTTTACTGAAATCAGTAAATCTCCAGGATAGATAATGTTTTCATTGGGAACGGCGATGAGCGGTATATTACAGGATTACGAGAATCTCATGTGTGTACAAACTAGTCTAGTTTACGAATGTATTCATAGACTAGTCGGTGTATAACGTGTGTACAACCTTCGCACAGAACGCAATTAAATTCACGATGTAGAACGCGCACATGAACATGGCAGTGTATGTAGCTCGGCTATGTATGCTGATTACTTGTTGTTGCTAACTCCAGTTGGATACTTATGCCTTTTGTACAATCATTGCCTTTTACTCGTTCCTGCTCGGACGAGAGCATTGCTAAAAATATAACTATATTTGACAGCCACAAAGTTTATTAACGCACGACACTATTTGCTTAAAGTTATTTTTAGATTCTTTATTCTTATGAAACAATAAATAATATAAATTGAACGTGGACTTTAATTTTTTTGAAAAGTACCTTGAATCCTCGGTAGAATAATATTTCAATTTCCTTTTATTGTCATTTACGGTCCTTTGTAATACATACAATGATTAATGCACTACTATCATAGCTAGATATCTTATATGTGTATACATATATGACATATTTTGAAGTATTTGAAACCGAGTGGAATTTGCAATACTTTCTCAATCTAATGTAGAACTTTTAAACAATATTGATTTGAAAAATAAAAAATTTTTCTGAACGAATTCTGTAAGAATTTGTATGAATTTGTATGAATTTCTGTAGCCATATAATTGGCTAGCAGTTTCAGCGATTCGCCACGGATGGCGCCACCGTTCAAAAAAAGAGTGGTACTCCGCGATTAAATGGGATTTTAACAGTGTTCTGGTCGTTTATTGTTATTGTCAATGGCAAGGCATTAATCTATGTTCTTTCAGCTACAAATCGAGTGCTTTATCTAGACGAAAGCAATCCGTATAACGATGTAACAGCTGTCCAAAGTAAACTAAACGGTGTACGCATGACGAGATACAGTGTCAACCATTGCAAATAAATGTGATTTTAACAATGTTCTTGTAATTACTGGTTCCCAGTCGTTAGAGAGTATTATTCTACGTTCTTTAAACTTCGAATTTAATACGTGATGAAGAAAAATGATGCCCGTTCTCACAAGTACTAGCTTCTAACTTCGTTTATGAAAATACAAATTCCAAAATATTCTCGCGCCACACGTCTAGGGCAGTTCTGTCCTGAACTTAAGCACAAAGCGTAATTAAAATCATTTAAATAAAATAATTAATATTTCATTATTTCTCATAAATACTAAGACGGTTGTTGTTGTTTAATAATTTATGATAAAATACAAGTTATTCATTTATAAAGCTTCATTACAAGATCCACTAAATAATTTTCTATAACATTCAAAGTACTAGACATTTTTAGAACACTGAATCTCATATCGATTTCTAAAATAATCCTAGTTCGATGTAATATAGA